GGTGGTTACTTCACATGTTTATTTGAGTTAATTGTTTCGGTTGCAGAAAAAATAGCATGTTTCATTCGGATCAAAAGTAACTTTGTTCGACTCGCAAATTTTGCTTTTGCTCGGCTTCGCTAAACGCTCCGCTTCGCAAATGCAAAATTCGCTTGTCAAACAAAGTGTCACTTTTGATCATAATAAAACAATCTACTATTTCTCCAGAAGGTACCAATGAAAGTTCTTCCCTATTTTGCTATCCTCGATGAGCCGTGACTGATTATGGCGCCCCTGGATCCGCCCCTGCGTGAATAAATTGAATAATTGTAGGACCATTCATTCTGTCACTGTAACTACTGAAACAAGGAAAAGAAGAGAAAGATAAATGATATTCAGACACGAAAGGAGAGACAAAATACCAACTGTGATATCATCAACATCTCTGACGAAGTGATGAAGATATTCAAACGTGTTCGAAGCACATTAGGAAAATTAGGTCACAACCTTCTTTATAAATGGGATACTGCCATCAAGAAAAGATTAATCTAGGAAATGAACAGAATCAGATTAGATGGAAAGTTTCTGGAAATATACCTCTCTTGTTCTACGAGAGCCTATAGTTTTCGAACCATTCCCAAACCTTATTGTCAGATTGGTCACAGTGAATCACGTGATACAATATGAACGCATGCGCGTTTGCTCGTAGAATCATTCTCGTAGATAAGCTTGGAATAGATAGAATTATTAACGAGACCCACGGGGTCTTTATAGAGGAAGGAAAACATCCTTGCAAGCCTAAATCACTACACAAATCATCACAATGGGCTGACGCCATGCTATTAGTGGACCAGAATAAGACTGCCTGACCAAACTCAGCCTCCACAATTTTATTGCCAATCTAAAAATAAGCACGAAAAAACACGAATCTCAACATATCACGTGTTGGGAATGGTTCGAAAGATTTCGACACTTCTTTATGTTTTTCATGGACACGTTCACCTGAAACACAAAATCTTTTGGAGCGCACGAAAGGAAATTTCAATAATGGTCGAAGAACATCGTGCGTACCTAGGGAAGATAGGGAGAGGAGGTAGGTATTGGAATTTGTTTTGAACTTTTGGAGGTTATGTTCTTGGGAATACTTCCATTCGCGATAGAACCACAGAATAGGTACCTAACAATCAGTAGTGCTTCTCTGGACGGCGGCGCCTTTGATATTTCAGGTTCAGTTTTCTGATAAAATGATAGTACCTATTGTACTGAACTGAATTTATTTACTTTGTGTGTCATTCATCGATACCAGTGAAATGTATTAAATTTATACAAAATCACACTTACACTTAATTCAATGAAAAATAGTTTACGAAAGCTAACTTTTATTTTCTGTAGGACAGGTTTGAACACAAACATTGCTTATTAACATTTAAATTGATAGTTTTGACCAGGTTTCCATTAGATTATTTTTTCAAGTTCTTTTTTGGAAAAACTGAGCTCATTTTTTTCCCAATTGCAGTTCTGCTTGGTCAATAGATAAACAGGGTATCTTCATTCAACCATAGATGAAACACACTCAACTGACTCTGATCATCAGATGAGGGATAAAACCAAGTCATAGAATTGTTTTTGCAACCTACAGCAGCGTACCATGACGACCTCTAAGTTTTTCTGAGCACTCATGTCTATAATCACAGATGAAGCAGATGAAGAATCTATAATTGGCTTTTTATTCACAGCCTGAATTAGGTAGGCACCAAAACTTTTTCGAACAGTACAACCCAAACAACAACACAGCAAAAATAGAATGTAATTGAATATCTGAATATTTCACAAGATCATTCCACAGCTCAGAATTCGATAAACATGTAAACAAGTAACCCAGGAAGATGGCCGACAACCTGCGCCGTTCAAATGCGCGAACCCACTCCCGCGCGAGAGATGCTATTCTGATATAGAACATAATCGTACGCCAACTATCAGAGTTGGACTTATCTATAGAGAAGTGAAAGGTCGCCGACTTTTCTACGGTGTTCTAATGAGGTCAAAGAACTAGTGAGTGTAGCATCACCCACCCAGGCGAATAGCTGTTCTCTGGATAGAATCTAATTCCGAGTTTTAGTGAAGCCGCTCTCGTGATGGATCGGACATGATTTTTCCATTGAAGAGTATTGCTCATGGAAATACCGAGCATAGATAAAGTGGATTTGGTGGACATGGTGGTATACCAGTCATTGTTATACTGTGTTCCGCCTCTCTAGAGAAAATACAGGCTTGAGTTTTGGTGGCGTTGAATTCAACTTGGTTGTTGGTTGCCCAGGCTGTAATTTCGGCAAGATCTTCCTGAAACACGATAAAAAATGTATGTTACCCTAACACTATCTTGGTTGATATAGTCACAACTAGATACGAATCGTTAAATTGTGGCTATAACGATAATCTGGCTATAGAAACAATGAAAAATGGTTGTAAAAAAATGTATCTGGTTGTGCTGATTTTTTTCCGTGTACCTACTCCTACTCGTTAATCTACTGCAATTATGATGAATTTAGTCAAAACATTCTGGTCTAGATATCTGACTTCTCTGACGTAATGAATGCCTGCAATGCTTCTCTGACATTTATGGATATCCGATCAAAATCCAAGGATAAACTGAACGGTCTTCTTTGAATGTGGTGCCGATTTGTTTTGACGTCTGCCCAATATTTAGATAAGAATTATTTCCCGCTTGTATAAACAGTTAGTGTAATGAAACATTCAAGAACACTTTCACAGCCTGGCTGTGGTGCGATCATGATCGTATATCAGATATAAGTATACACAGGGAAGACAGTAAATCTATCTTTGTTTCGCCACTCAAAACAGCTCAAGAATTATGGCGTGAGGTCAGTATAATTGAGGACCCACACGGTGGACTCTCAGTAATGTCGGTATATATTGAAAACAAAAATCCTTACATCAAACACCGACCATAATTTTGTTGCACACCTTGCATTGTGACAACAGCATCATAGTCGTTCTGGGCTCTTTCATTCAAAATTGTTTGAATTTGACAATCAAGTTTATGAACGTCAGAATTGAAATATTTTTCATATTGAGAAAAAGGCATAAACGAAAATGTCCTGCTGTGTAATGAATTGCGGGCATTCTCAAGGAAATTGCGTTTTCATTTTTTCAATTTTCCAAAGGAAATAACAACCATTCCCTTACAGAAGGAATGTATGAAGCGGCCTGGATGGAAAATTAATTTGAAGACAAGCAAAATTTGTGAGGTAAGTATATTAGAATTCACTTCCCATAACAGCAGATTGAAATGAAACATAATTTCATGCCCATTTTCAAACAGAAGACTTACAAAACAGACTATTGAAAAAAATCCAATATTATCATCAGATGAAATGCATTAGAAAATCATCATAGAGAAAGAGGAATTGATTGCAAAACTACGTAATGAAATTGAAAATTTGAGAATGGGAAATCAAGTAAATTGCAACGTGATATGATATCATTGAATGGCGTTTTCAATACCTACCAAATTCAAAATTTATCAGTTAAAAGTGAATTTCTGGAGGTTATATGTCCCCGGGAACACCGCCCTTGGCAATGTGTTCCAGAGCCTCGCTGTTCGTTGGAGGAACGTGTCTTTGGAAAGAGATGTTCTGCAGGTCTCCAAAGTGACCACGAAGGGGTGCAAAGCCTCAACTCGACAGGTTAATCTCGCGGGGACTGCCAAGGAAGGAACAATTGTTGATATTTCAGAAGAGCATCGTCCATGAGAATATCTATGAAATAGAGCCAGATCGCCAACTTTCCTACGGTGTTCCAGAGAAGTGAGTGAGTTTGTGAGCGAGGCATCACCCACGAGACGAATTGTCCTTTTTAGGACAGAATCCAACAGTTTCAGGGTATGTTTAGGTGCTGCACTCCAAATATGGGAACAGTTTTCCAGGACAAGTCGGATCTGTGCATTATAGATCATAAGCAGCTGACTGAAAGTGAAATAGCTCCTGGCCCGGAACAGAAAACCAAGTTTTTGGGATGCACTTGTAGCAATTGATCTCACGTGACTTTCTCAAGAAAGGTTATTGCTGATAGTAATACCGAGCATTGAAATAGATGTCTTCGAAGGTATGGTTACTCCTGACAAGCTCATGTTGGACACAGTGAGATCGGCTTTTCTAGAGAAAAGGCATGCTTGTGTTTTGTTTGCATTGAAATCTACAAAGTTATTGAATCCCTATTCGAGAATTGTTGTCATGTTGTCAACATTTCTACTTCGTTCGTTTCTGATTTGCCTGGCTGGTATTGGAGCCCTGGAAGAGAAGGCGGTATGGAGAGTACTAACATTCGCGAAGCTGTGTACTGGACATGAAGATCCTTGCGGAACACCAACATTTATGATAAGAGAGTCAGATGAAACTCCGTCGACCACTACACTGTGAGACCTGTTTGAGAGAAAACTAGCTAGCAGAGAACATAGCTGGGGAGGCAAGCCATAAGATGGAAGCTTGGCGAGGAGTCCGTGGTGTCAAACTCGATCAAATGCCTTGGAGATATCAAGTGCCACGGCTAAGGTATCTATGACAATGATTGATTTGACAGAAAATCTAACTACTAAAAGCGTATCTGATAATCAGGCGCTACTAGGGAAATTGAGAAGACAAAAAGCAGGATATATATCTTATTCATTTATTCACTCATACCATGGTAAAACTTCTATCACAATCAGCGTTTCAATATCAGTGGAAACCAACAAGCATCATTGATTATACACATCATAGATTCGATAATAATTAATGAACTTATACCAAAAACAAATCTCTCTTCCTCCATCAGTATCGACTCACCTGACCTGATTTCTGGGCATTCGGGGCAAGACTCCAATTTCTCCGATACTGAAAGTTACGTCCCGTGCATTAACGGGGTGATCGAATTATAAGGGCGTATCTTCTGTGCCGTCGCAGTAGGCGACGATAAATTTTCCAACTCCGTCACACTCAGAACTCTCGTTAGGGAGTTTTGTGATGCGCGTCAGCACTGAAATTCTCTTGGTGAAATGTCGGAGAAGGAGTTTTATGAATAGAGCAATCTACCGCAGGCTGATACTCACTTATGTGATATGTATATAAATCGGTATAAGTAGAGGATCCGAAGTGAGGACGACCTTCACCAATCTGTTTGATGGATGAATTTTATTTCATAAGTAATTCAGGTTTATTTATGTACGCTGTTCAGTATGAGGAAATGTTAAAAACATAAATATGGACTTGGCAACAATTCTCGAATAGGGATCCAATAACTTGGTAGATTTCAATGCAAACAAAACATCACAAGCATGCCTTTTCTCTAGAAAAACCGATCTCACTCCCAACATAAGCTTGTCAGAAGTAACCATACCTTCAAAGACATCCATTTCGATGCTTGGTATTACTATCAGCAATAATAACCTTCCTTGGGAAAATCACGCGTGAGATCAATAATTGCTAAAAGCAGTGCATCCCAAAAACATGGTTTCCGGTTTCGGGCCAGGAGCTATTTCACTTCCAGTAAGCTGTTTATGATCTATAAGACACAGATCCGACCTTTCCTGGAATACTGTTTCCATATTTGGAATGCAGCACCCAAACATACTCTGAAACTGTTGGATTGTCGAAAAAAGGGCAATTCGTCTCGTGAATGATGCCTCGTTCACAAACTCACTCACTTCTCTGGAAATTGCAACGTACCGAAAGTTCGTAAATAAAGCTTCGCGTTGTATTGTATTATTTGTTCCTTCTGCAGAGCAGTGTAAGTTTTCGATAAATGCATTGAGGACATTTCATATATGAGGGCAATATTCGCGATAATCTCTCGTTGGCATGAGCAAAAAAAAGGAGTCTTTTTATTGGTTGAAATTAAAATTATCAAATTTTCACTACAAATGCCTGCTGATTGGTCGGTTTTAGGAAATTGAAGAAATTTCATTGGTTCTTGGGAGAGGCGTGTATCAATCAAATGAGAAATGAAATATAGCGTCTCCTTCTTCTTTTGTTATAGGCTTTTTGAAGAGCACGGTGAGCTGCTGAACCTCTTCGAGAAATTCAAAGAGCTGAAGACCAAAGAAGACCAAGTGAACAGCCTGGAGCTGGCAGAGCACGCTAGCACTGTGATGAACACCTTGGACGAGGGCATCAAGGGTCTGGACAACCTCGACGCCTTCTTCGAGTACCTGCACCAGGTGGGAGCCTCCCATCGCAGGATCCCGGGCTTCAAGGCCGAGTATTTCTGGGTAAGGATTGCTGATCTATTGGCAACGAATGGGAAGGCAATAGAGAGTTGAAGGACTTCCCTGTATCTGTACCTCCACGTATACCGCGGGTGTCTGAAAGATTTTAGGCCAGCAGATATCTAGGTTATCTAACATACAAAAATTCAACTAGGGAATAGCCAAAGCTCAAAGTCGCCAATTCCACGAATAATATTACATCCTCCCGAAATCTATGCAGCGATACGTGCATTATTAGTATTCGTTTATACGTATTTATACGTTTACTCATCCTGATTCTCTGCAAGTAATTCACCATCTCGAACTTGAACGGGTATTTTACCGTGTATAACACACAATTTTTTTTGTGACAGGAGAAAGAACGAATCAATATTGAGAAGATATTACATGATTTTGAAATCTAAAAATTATCGACGTGTAATTTGAAGTTTTTAACAGGGGTGACACCTGCGTTGCATCAAAAATCTACGAAAGAGAAACAATGGTTTGGGCAAAATCAACAGGCCAATTAATAATAGAGAGTTATGTCTCTCTTATGCATCAATTGGTCTCTCAGTACATTCATGTAAGGTTGGAGAACATCCTGAAAATGATTGTCATGATTTTTTTTCTTCACAAAGGATGAGATTTCTACAAAATTCTTACATTAAAATACGGTGTAACGGATTAACTTGAGAAAGTTGATAGCAAGTACATATTATTTCCTAAGAAGGAAACAAATTCAACAGTGGTGAACTATTGAGGTTTAGTTGATCATTAGGTAAAATGATAAAATTTTTCAGTTTGTTGACTTCTAATGATTCATAATAATTGAGTTTTATTCCTCTATTTTATACATGTAGAATATATGGTTGGCGTATGTTGGATTTGTTTTTTTTTTTTTTTAGAAAAATTCATGTCATATATTAAATGAATGCGCTGATTATTTTATATGTCCTGGTTCCCACGGAAAGGGATATCCTGTAATGTTCAAAGAACATCGTGAGAACCAAAGAAAATAAGGTAGGAATTGGCGTTCTCCTTAAATTTCTCGAGGTTATATGCCTCGGGGAACACCTCCCTTGGCAATGTGTTCCAGAGCAGCGTTGTTCTTTGGGAAGAGATGTTTTACAGGTCTCCAAAGTGACCACGAAGGGGTGTGAAGCCTCAACTCGACGGGTTAATCTCGCGGGGACTGCCAAGGGAGGAACAATCGTTGATATTTCAGAAGAGCATCGTCCATGAAAATATCTATAAAATAGAGCCAGATCGCAAAACTTTTCTACGGTGTTCCAGAGAAGTGAGTGAGTTTGTGAGCGATGCATCACCCACGAGACGGCCTGCCCCTGTTTGGACAGAATTCAACAGTTTCAGGGTATGTTTGGGTGCTGCACTCCAAATATGGAAACAGTATTCCAGGATAGATCGGATCTGTGCCTTATAGATCATGAGCAGCTGACTGGAAGTGAAATAACTCCTGGCCTGAAACAGAAAACCAAGCTTTTGGGATGCACTTTTAGCAATTGATCTCACGTGATTTTCCCAAGAAGGGTGATTGCTGATAGTAGTAGTAACAAGCATCGAAATGGATGTCTCCAAAGGTATGGTTACTCCTGACAAGCTTATGTTAGGCACAGTGAGATCGGCTTTCCTAGAGAAAAGGCATGCTTGGGTTTTGTTTGCATTGAAATCTAACAAGTTGGTGGATCCTCATTCGAGAATTGTTGCCAAGTCCATATTTATGTGGTCAACATTTCTCCCTCGTTCGTTTCTGATTTGCCTGGCTGGTATTGGAGCCCTGGAAGAGAAGGCGGTATGGAGGGTACTATCATCCGTGAAGCTGCGTGTACTGGACATGAAGTTGCTTTCAACAAATCCTTGATATGGAGAAGAAATAGTGTTGGTGCTAGAATTGATCCTTGCGGAACACCAGCATTTATGATAAGAGAGTCATATGAAACTCCGTCGACCTCTACATTGAACGTACGACCTGTCTGACCGATATATACCTTAGGAGAAGATCCACAGTTGAGTTTGTATACTCCTGATTTTCCGAATTCAGAAGTTTTGTCTTTATTATTTTTGATGAACCTTCCCAACTGTTATTTGTTCTATATGCTACTTTCAAGTCCTGTTCATGTAGAACATTTTACTTAACGATCAACAAGATCTCAATAGTTCACCACTGTTGAATTTGTTTTCTTAGTAGGTAATAATAATTATGTTCTTGCTATATCAACCCTTTCAAGTTAATCCGTTACACCGTATTTTGATGTAGATATTCCACAGGTAAGTTCAATCCTTCAGGTTAGTTTAGTAGGACATATATAACTTTAGGCAAACCATCAAGGTTAGTTTTAGCGAAACAAATCTTATCGTTTGTGAAGTCTTTACAATTGTTTTTACACTGTCATGATTATCAAATCTGTAATCATTATTTATCTTGTCCTACACAAGAATTATTGATGAATGGTGTGACGCGCCTTGCTGATCAGAACGAATTCTTCAATTTTTCATCGTTAAATCATGGGTATAATCGTTACAACGGTATAATCTTATCTCTCGGGAAAAGTGAGAAGTCATCTATTCTTCTGTCTTGTTGCAGTGTCATATTTTCTTCCAAACAAAATTCGCCAGGTGATTAATGGCTGCTATCCCCATACAAAATGGGATTATTCCCAAAAGCAATAAAATGCGAGACAGGCAGTATATATCTGGTTTCTTGGGCAGGGCAACGTCGAATTACGATGAAATAAGGAAGTGGATACATTCAGGGATAGTTTATTATGCCTGCCCTATTTCATCAAGATGATAGATGAATAAGGGATTTTCTCGCGTGGGTTCTGATCCGAAGTTGCTTAGACTAGAGTCCGGACACAAAAGTGTTTCATTTGGTTTGCCCACCTGACAATGTGACGGAACACCATAGTCGTCCCGCCAGCTTTTTTTAATTATTTCGAATTTCTGTCACTGGTAATTTGAAATTTTATGACCGCCAAAATTTAGCATCTCAAATTATTTCAATGTCCTGCTGCGTACATTATTGCGATGATTCATTAGAAAAGGGGTCCTCTAACGATAATGTCATGGAAGAATGCAGTGAAACGTCCAGAATGGAAAATTAATTTCAAGAAATGTGAGGTAAATATTCAAAATTACTTGTGAAAACAGTACAAAACAGATGAATTTTAGGCCCATTTTGATAGAGATTCTTTCAAGCTGATGGATTTCAAATTGAAAGAGTTTGCTGTGCCGTCAATTTATAAAATTGAGACGTTCAAAAAAAGAGTTCCGTCGTCATCGTATTGGGAATTACTGAATGATACGATCGCAGAGAAAAAAAAAATGAGAATGAGATGATGCGGAAAGAAATTGAAAGTTTGAAATCAAAACTAGAAGATTTAGAGTGCTATGTCATCAGTCCACGGTGTTTTTAATTCAGATCAAATTCAAGATTTACAGGTGAATATAGACTGCAGGAAGAGATGGGAAACCGACAAAATCAATAAGGCATATATTGTTGTTTTGATTTTGTCACATTTATTTCTGCTGAGTGTTATTAAATTGAGAGAATCGGAGAAAATTATATTCAAATAATTATATATCTTCTATTTTTTTATATCTCAACAAATAACAACTATATTTTCTTGGCTATATGTGATACCACGTAGAACACTCAAATTATCTTTCTTATATCTAATGAAGTGAAGAAATATCTGATGACGAAAATTTGCAATAGCCATCTCAGGAATTGATTATAAAAAATTATCGATTTGAAATTTAAACACCCTGTTGTTCATTAATAGTTATAATAGTAATTCAAGTTAAAATAACCCTATTTCTCACTTCTACCTACGGCTATGAACGGTTTGACAAATAATCTAACCCTCAAAATTGTTTCTGACAATCATTGATACTAGGGGAATTGAAAAGACAGAAATCGATATATATGTCTTATTCCTTTATTCAATCATCAATGCATTTTTTGAAAACAGAAAAGAACAGAAGTATAGCTGTGTCCGGACTCTTGTCCAAGGAATATGTACAGGGAACTGTAGTACCGACTACCGAGTTTGTTTTTGGCCCACGAGTAGCCTACAGGGGTAAATTTACCTCAAGAGTTGCAAGACAAAATTGAACATCACTAAAATGACATACAGGGTGTCCGGAGATAAAACCGACAAGACTTGTGGGGTTATAGGGACTGTCAATATGATTGCAAAATGCCATAAACCAATGTCCAAAACCGCTTCGTTATCGACTTACAGAGTGATTTGTGGATTTTGACCAAAAAATCAATCCCCCATATCAAATACAGGGATCAACCGATTAAATTCAAATTTGGTACACGAATTAAACTGAGAAGCATCAACAAGTAGCCCTTTGATCGAAACCAATATCAGGACCGGAATGATATTTTTTCCCTATGTTGAGTTATTGTGAGAATAACTCACCCTGTATAATAATAACAAAAAATGTCAACTCAGATTCGACATCTACACGGTAAAAATTGTATAGGAATTTGTTGAGAAATCTCTTGGCACTATCTCAGTTATTCCGTAATTAATTATTATTTCAATTTTTTTCTCTCAAATTTCAATTATTGTCGGATAAAGTACTATCAAAATTGGTAATATAATAAATATTAACGAAACCATGACATGAATATCGTTATTTTCTTCAATCAGTCCGTAAATCGTAGTAAAATAAAATACTCTCATTACCCGAAAAAACTGAAAAATAAATTCGTATCAGGACTGGAATGCGGTTTTCCATGCTTATATTCCTGTAAGAATTGATGATCTAGTATAACAATGATCTGATCGCAGATTTTAAATGCACTGAGAAAAGTTAAAAACTTGTTGAAAAATGATCGGATTGAACTTTCAAATAATAAATCCGTATCAGTACCTATAATGTTTGTGTAGGCTTGTGTCAAATTCAGAATTTCATTATGGAAAACCATTGTTCAGCTGTCATCAGCGTTTGTTTTATTGGTGTTCATTCATTATCCCAGTGTTTTTAGGATCAAACTATAGTCCTGAGAGTGTGCTTATGATGCCGTTTCATTTCAC